GATGGGACCTGTAAAGATTTATAGCCTTGGAACCCCTATACAGGGTTGCTATGAGTTGGAACCAACTCCATAGCACATAACCACCATCAATAAATTAGTCACTAAAATTCACATTTCAATTTTTTAAACTTTTTTAAAATGTAAGATAATATCATGGATTGCATTATTTTACCAACTGGTAGACTCATGCTTCCTATAAAGATGAAAAACCAACACCAATAAGACACAGTTATGGAGACTTGCTAGACATCCAAATAGTTCATGGGATTTGTTTACTGGGTTAAAAGGCTTAGGAGCATACTTTTATGGAACAACTTAATCAACTGGCATGACACAGTTCATAAAGATAATGTTCTACACCCTACTTTGTGAGTATCATCTGGGGTCTTAAAAGCTTGGTCTCAACTGTTGGTCTTTACTCATCAGGAGCAAAAGAGAATGAAGGAAATCAAAGACATGAAAAAGAAAAACAAAACAAAAAACCCTAGTCCATACACAGAACTAATAGCCCACATGAACCACAACCTCTTCCAACCTGAGACTAGACGGTCCCTGCCTACCACTACCTACTGTTCTGACCAGGGACATAATAGAAGGTCCCAGAGAGTATGTGAGAAAAATGTAAAACATTCAAATTCTGTAAACTCACATACACACAAACTACCAGACCTAGTGGACCAATAGAATCTAGGAGAACCCCAGAGTCTATTGCCCTAAAATAATCTTTGAACTTGGCACTGAAGATAGTCTTAGAAGTCACCTTTCAACCAAATAAAAGATTAGCTTAAAAAACAAACAGTATCACCTGTGAGTAAAGTGCTCCCTTAAGTAAACAAATAGATGATACCAAATGGTCAATATTTACCAAAGATGAGAAGGCCAGGAGGGGAAGGGAAGCTAGATCACTGTCAACAGAACAGATAAAATGGAAATAATGAGAATGCTGACATACTGTAAAAACGTTAATATCTCTGGACAATTTGTGTAATACGTTGTTAAATAAGAACCTAAGTTGCTATGTAAACTTTCACCTACAACACAATAAAATAGTTTTGTTGTTGCTTTTTTTTTAAATACCAGTTAGTAAGGTTTACATTTCATAGTCATCAACTGGATTTTCACCTTAAAATGTGATACAAAGTATTTATGGTATGATGCTAATGATAAAACCAAAAGGTGTAGTACGCTTTGAGGTCTGTGAGGCTGTGTCCTGGTGCACTGGCAAACCTCATACAGCATGGTACATCTAAAGCATAGCTAACCCTTATTTATTCATGTTATTGGGAGATTTTCTTTTAATCACAATAACCAAAGGAATTAACAATAGATCAGCCAATGCCAGGCTAACAGTCAATGCTAAAATTCTTCTACGTGTATCAAAAGAAACTTCCTATAACTGAGAGTTTACTACATATAAGAAGCTGTTTTAAAACCTTTTGAAACATGTGAAAGGACATCATACTCAAACGAATATCTTTATCTTCTGTCTGTTTGTGCTGTGGTCTCCCAATCCCTTTAGCATCCTGATGAAACAAGGATTATGAACAGAAGTCTGTGAATGGATCAAAACCAATACTGCCAAATATCTAAGTCAACAGTTTAAATCCTTCATTCTACTTACACCTTCTGAATCTGCAAAATTCACGTATGTTCCCCAGTTTACAAAAGAGACTTCTCATAGTTTCTAATCGTTTCTAGGCTATCATTTCCAGACCCTGGGTCTTCAAAGAAAAATAATTTTAACTCATTTCTGAAAGATGACTATGGAAATGAATGTCTTAGAACTGGAAATGAATGTTTTCACGGATTAAAAAGAAAACTGAATTCAGAAAGTTGTTTTTTTTTTTATTACCTGTACTGTCAAAAGTTGAAGGAAATCCTGAACAATCAAATAAATGCTGATGATTAAAAAACAGTCTCATCTATTCATTAGACAGATCATGAAAGAGTTTTACTTAAAAACACTTTAAAATTTGTATGAAAATGACGGGCTCTTCTTTTTCTTGGCTTCACTTCGTTTTTAAGTGAGGTTTCAGGATACAGGGACTGTTGTCCTTCCGTTTAAAATTGATACTCACTGGTATGATTCTCAGTGTTCCTTTCAACTCCAATATCCTCACTTCAATTCGCCAACTTTTTTTACTGCATGAGTAAAAAGCTAGTGAGAAATGTGAATAGAAGCAATCTAGAAACAATCGTGTTTGTTCACTGGCCTCGTGCAGATGTGGGAAATCGATGCTTCTGTAATCCTTTTCGGAAATAACTAACGTTTTGCTGGGCCTTCTTGGATTCTCGTTTTCTCCCAAGTTTGAGGGGAAAGTAAAGTTCTCCTAGTCCTAGGGCCACAGTAAATTAGTGTGGCGCCGCGGGTTAATACGCTGGATTGCAAGGTTGGTTTGAACCGCAAGGTCGGCAGTTCAAGCTCACCAGCAGCTCCTTGATCGCTATGAGTCATAACCGACTCTACCGGCACTGAACAACGCCAACAATGTGAGTGGGGATAGTGCATGCCTACTGGCTGGTGAGCCGAAAACCAGAGTCCAGCTCCAGAGAATGGGGGGGGGGGGCGGGGGAGCCTCCGATCCGTAGCTTACCTTTGCCACTCGCCACCTGCAGACTTTCCGTCTTCTTCCCCCTCACGCCCTCTCTACCCTCACCACCACCCCAACCACCCCTCACCCGCCCCAGGCCACTATTTCTAGTCACATGCCACACAGCTGAGCGAGCTGCGCAGGAAGGAGCGGGCTGACAGACAGCTCTTCTCTCCTGGGAACGCCCTAGGAGGGTGGCAGCCAAAGTAAAACCGCTCTGTTCAAGGAGGAACAAAACCTGCGCAAGATGGAGTGACCCAGAAGAGCCTAGCCGATCCGACGCGGTCTCAAACCTGTCGCTGAGCACTCGGGTGAGGGACCCGCACAGATCCGAGGCAGGATGGGGAGGAAAGGTCCCCTTCGCAGCGAGGATGCGCGGCGACGTTGTGCTAGACCCGGGCCTGCACGCCCTTCCCGCACTCAGAAGGGCGAATTGTCGTTGATTGGTGACAGCTGTTTTGTCCCTAGAGGAAACGCAGGTTGGCAGTTGTTGCTTTTTAGCGATTGTCCCCGGTGAACAAGTTGGGAGGTGGCTGAGATGTTCTTTTTCACCAGAGTGCCTAGAATATCACAAAAGACGCTTTCGTAAAACTGGACTAGCGGGTGGGGTGTCTTAATTTTTGTTTTAGTTTTTCCATTAAAGTAGATTCCATTGTGGTTATCTAAGGAAATCCCTTATTAACCGAGTTGAAGACACGGAGCAACTACCCATTGAAAAACTGGGCAAAGACAAAAATATAATCCCGAAATGGTTTGGCTTCGAATATTCACGTTTTCAAAGCAAATATACGTATCTTGAAGTATGCATGTATTCGCATATCGTCGTTTTATGTCCTGAAAAGCTGTGTGAAAGTTTTTGTTGGATTGAAACTGGGAGATAGCAAGACTCTGCGTGAGTAATTCACGATGTCTCTTCTGGAGTCGGTGGGCTCTGAAGATTCCCAACTTCTGCACCCACCTGATACCCAAGTCTGGCCCCCAAATCTTCCCGCAACTCCCCTTCCACAACCGGAACCAGATGTAGGGAGTGGTGCCTTCCGTCATTCTTAAATTTGCTGGACAGAGCCTACTCCTCATTCTTACCCCCTCCATGGGAGCTCTGAGGAGGTTTAAGAAAGAGAGTGTCGCAGGAAGCAGGTCGGAGCCCTGAGAGCACTCAGAGCAGAAGAGAGGACAGGGGGTGGGGGTGGGGCAGCTTGGAGTAAATCCTCTCACCTCTCTAAAATGAACCGGGGAAAATGTAGCTGCTGTGTTAACTGGCTGAAGAGACAGTAAAGCCCTCTCTGACTTCACCCCACCTCCTGCAGTTCTTAGGCTGCCTCTTAGAACCCAAGGATCCTTGTACCAAAATGACGCCATAACTTTAAAGAAGGCCCGCGAAGAGACCCCGCAGGGTTAGCCTGGACACCCGGTGCTGGGGAAGGCCTCCCGGACTCCTAGAAAGCAGCTTGCACCGGGAGGAGCCAGAGCCGGGACGCGAGCCACACTGGCGGAGCAGGGGTTGGGTCGAGGACTTTAAAGAGGAATGGGCGGTATCGGACTTCCAAAGATGTGCATAGGAAATCTCTCTAGATCGGAATCGAGGTGTGCAGAGCTGGAGGCAGGAGGACCAGGTCGTAGAAGGAGCAAAGGACGAGGTGGCTGACTTTTCCCGCAGAGGGAGCTCCTCTGAGCCTACGAGGAGTTCCCGGACTCCTTGGACATCCTGTCTGCGAGGATTTGGGTCCCCTTGGGAATTACTGGGGACAGTACACATCCCCAAAAGCCTAGAGCAGACACTCTACCCAATCTCGCCACCCGGGACCACACACACACTTCATTGCGGGGCCGAGGCTAACCCACAAGATCTCCTTCCCCACGCACAAACTTTTTCTCCAGATCTAAGGATCCCAGTTCTCCTTCCTCCCCTCCCACACACCTTTTGCCCCACCCTACCCCCCTCCTTCTATTTTAAACTGAGAAATCCCTACTCCTCGAAGTGCTAAGCCTCAGGACCAAGTCTCAAGGCAGTAAGTCCTCCAGCACCCTCAGTCATTGACGCACCGCTGGGGAGCCCCGGGAAACACACGGACTGCCCCACCAGCCAGTGTCCCATTGGCCCCCGGGTCCCCGCCTCTTACCGTCTCCTCCCCCCGCCGCGGCTCCTGAGTGGCGTCAGCACGCCCGCCGAACGTGGGGTTTAAATATGCCCACTAGCGGGAGCCCTGGCGCTTCTGTCCTGGAGCGTTGTTCCGGCTAGAATCGTAAGGGTGGGAGGGGAGCGAGACAACTAGCGGGATCCAGAGCCCTGGAACGCGCTACCTTCTCGCTCTTCTGCCGATGACTCCGGAGCTCGGCCTCAATCGCAGCCCATGCAGCATCCCGGCGGTCCGCCGAACGAGAGTTGATGATAATACATCCAGGCGTCTCCTCTGCGGGGAGCCATGAGCTGTCTGGATGTTATGTACCAAGTCTATGGTCCTCCGCAGCCTTATTTCGCAGCCGCTTACACCCCCTACCATCAGGTACGTGTCTCCTCGGGGCTCAGGCCTCAGGGATGGTTGGCGCATTCCCAGCGTCCCCGAGAACCACCTGGACCCTGAAGTCTGCAGAGCCTTCGCGCGAGTCCCAGGCGTCGTTCCGATGTAGGGTTCCACGATGTCACGGGGTTGGCTGTGCGATGAACTAACCCGTTAGCTCTTCAGCTAGCTACGGGAATTAATTGAATCCTGCTAATATGCCCCCAGGTCTTCTGATAATAATCAATCAGACGAGGATATGCGGGTGGTATTTTTTTTTTCTTAGACTCAGTGGGACTCCAGATTATTCTGAACCCAGTGTGGTTTCCGGGGAGGTGTGGGCAAAATAAATTTTGGTTTTAAAGGTGAGAGCGACAACAAAAAAGCAAAGGGTCTTTCAGTCTGAGATGCATAGTACACACGTTCTCATCCTTGAAGTTACCCAAGGAAATTTTTTTTTTCCCCCGATTCATTTCTCTGACGATCCGACCAATTAACTCCAGAACCAGTGAATTCCTTACAAAGGACACCACGCAGCATACATTGTTTTTGTTATCTTTGCCTTACAAAGTTCTGGGGAGTAATATGACATAGATGCTTCATAGATAATTCTTCATCTTGCTCGAATCCGGCAACATACTTTTTAAGACCTCTTAATCCCTTCTGCTACAAACTTGACAATTTTCTTTTAATTGGGCCTATTTCTCTTCTCCCCGCTACGTCCTGTCGAACAATAGTTCTTTACAATTCCTCAGCGAGGCAGCAGAAACAGATGACAATGGTGCTGAAAAACAACATCATACGCACAATGGGGCATAAGGGTCCGGCCAAGTTTGGAAGTGATGACCTGGACTCCTTGCTTTTTCTGAGATTGATTCCGATGCTGAGTGGACGCTTCCACAAATTTTGCTTGCAAATTCCGAACTTCCGATTCAGAAATGTCCTGATTGATTCATGAAGAAATGCTTGGGTTTTGATCATTTCTTTTTCCTCCAGCTCCCCTTTTTAATTTTCCAGTCTGGAGTTCATTTAGTCTCCATGTTAATTAGGGAATCACCAGAGTACCTCATTGTAAGCCACGTGGGGACATAGCATTTATGAAGTGGGAATATTGCTAAATAAGGTCAATGTTTGGGCACCAGTTTCTAAGATGTGCTTCTTCTCAAGCTGGAACTATTGCAATTGTTTTGTCTGGTCTTTTCTACTCCACCGGTGCAATCTATTGATTGCATTAAGATATTCCAAGCCTTCTCTGCCAGCATTCCATTCATTGTTCGTTTCTAAGAAAATGTTCTCAGCAGCTGCATTTGGTTTTAAAATCATAAAATCATAATCAGACATCACAATTTATCCAGCCTCATAGCCAGGATCTCTGCTCATTTTGATTTCTTGTTATACAGGGAGGTGGTGAGTGTGAAAATGCTCACAGTCCTTTGTTCTTGTTTTTCCTTTTGAACAATACTTAAAAAAAAAAAAGTGGCAGATTTTTAAATGGGCAGTTAATGGATGACCAAAAAATTTCAACTCACATTTATTAACTCCCAGACACAACGTTATCCCACATTTTCACGCAACACAATTCATTTTTAAATGAAACTTTTTCAAACAATTTGAGGTAGTTTTACTTTACATTCCTGGTTACACTGAGTGGGTTTTATTTTGCTGCTCCATTATGGGGTGCTTAATCCTGCATATTGCACTTCTGTAATATGTTCTAGGCAGGAAACAGTCAGGTCCTAACTGGACTTAGATGCCTTCCTTGATTTTTAAAAATTTCTTTACCCTGAGCCAGGCTCTGCCATCAAACTGAGCTCATAACCTGGCTACTTATGTGTCTTCTGTAGATATTCACTCTGATATCTTCAGAGAGCTTTCTCTGCAGTGACAGCAAGTCCCAATAAGACAAAGGTGCTAAAGAGGATGGTTTGCCTCTGAAGAAACCCACCCTTGGTAGGCTGCAGATCGGAGGCCTGCTGTTTGTGTACTTCAGCAGATTGCTAGTTTATGCCAAGAGCACAAGGTTTAGGAAGAGGCACAAGTGTGAGGGATTGCATTTTGACCCTTATTTGCTACATCCTTTTAAATTGACATGTGTATTCTTTCTCTCCCTGAACAGAAACTAGCTTACTACTCCAAAATGCAAGAAGCCCAGGAGTGCAACGCCAGTCCCAGTAGCAGCGGCAGTGGCAGCTCGTTTTCCAGCCAAACTCCAGCCAGTATAAAAGAAGAAGAAGGCAGCCCAGAGAAAGAACATCCACCCGAGGCAGAGTACATCAACTCCCGCTGTGTCCTGTTCACCTATTTCCAGGGGGACATCAGCTCTGTGGTGGACGAACACTTCAGCAGGGCCTTGAGCCAGCCTAGCAGCTACTCCCCCAGCTGTACCAGTAGCAAAGCACCAAGGAGCTCCGGGTCCTGGCGGGGTGAGTTTATGGTCCTGTAGGAAATGACAGTGGAGAGTCCTCTCAGCCTTGATCCACCCACAAAGGCCCAAATTGCTGCAGCTGAAAGAATACTGGGTGTCAGAGAAGAGTAGAGAGGAGCATTTGGGGAGATTAAGAAAAACTAAGAAGGAAAGAACATGGGCACATGATCTTTTCTTGAAGACAAGGGCAGACTTGTTGATGTTTTTGTTAAGTGCTGTTGAGTCAGTTCTGATTCATAGCGACCCTAATAAATAAGGTTTCTAAGGATTGTCTGGTGAGTTTGAACGTCTAACTTTGTGGTTAGCACTACAGTGTTGTTTGTTGTCAATTATCTTCAAGTTGGTTCCAACTCAGAGTGAGCCTGTATAGAGTTTCCAAAAAGCAACTGGTAAGCTTGAACCACCAACCTTCTAGTTAGCAGTCCAGTGCTTACCGTATAGCACCACACCATCCATTGTTGTTAAGTGCCGCGGAGTCGGTTCCGACTCATAGCAAGCCTGTATAGGGTTTCCAAGGAGCAGCTGATGAGCTTGAACCACCGACCTTTCATTTCAAAGGGCTTTGCAGTGTGGCACATTAACCCACAGCACCACACCAGGACTACGTAGTGACTTAGAAAAAAAAACACTAGCCTGGAATTGGGAGACCTGGGTTGCTTGTTGGCTCCACCAGTTTCTTGCAATTTGACCTTGGATAAGTCTCTTAATGTCTTTGACAGTTCTTCTATTTAGCATTCTCTAAAATTAGGAGCTCTGGCAGCACAGTGTTTACAAAGTCGGACTGCTAACCTCAAAGTCAGCAGTTCGAATCTACCAGTGTTTCATGGGAGAAAGATGAGGCTTTCTCCTGCCTCAGAAACCCTATGTATTCAGGGTCACTATGAGTGGGAACAGACTCCACAGTACATAACCACCACCATCACCAAAATCCTGATGTGGCGCTGTAGAATAAGCACTTGACCTCAAAGTCGGTTTGAACCACAAGGTCAGCGGTTCAAACTCACCAGTCACTCCTTGGAAATCTTCTACAGGGTTGCTGAGAGTCAGAACCAACTCCACAGCACTAATGACAAAATTAGAATAATGCTTGTCCCCCTAACTACTCCCAGAGGCTGTGGTCAGATTCAAATAAACCATTATATGTAAATGACTGTAGAAAAGCAAGTTTTCCAAAGTCCTTCAAAACTAAGGTGGGAAATCTTCACCTCTAACAATTTACAGGCTATTTTCTTCATTTCTGAAACGCTGTCTAGAGGTAAAACTCCTAAGCCTTACTGCAAGCTGAACCTGTAGAAGAATGTCCCTTAAACATGCCTACCTATGTATTTTGCCAGGTTCCATTACGTGGGAAACCTTGAAGCAGAAAATGATGTTTTAAAAAGCAAGTGAAGTAGCAAAGAAACAAAAATTTAAGTAGAGCCAAACCATCTCTAAGGATTTTTTTTTTCAAAACACACACCCTGTTTATTTTCCTATCCCTCCCCACAAAGAGCTGCATTACACTAGGCTGGGGCCCCAATGTCTTAGGCAACTCCAGTCTTCTAATGTGAAGCCAAATTTCAGCCTCCCTTTATTACCAAGGCAAGAGTTGTGGTTGTTATTAAGTGCCACTGAGTCAGTTGTAACTCACAGCAGCCCTGTATAATACGGTTTCCGAGGAGTGCTTGGCGAGCTTGAACCACTGACTCTGCAGTCCAGCGCATTAACCAGCAGCGCCACACCAGGACTCCAAGAAGAGTGACGGAAACTATTTGGTTAAATTTCTCACAAAAACTTAAGAGGCTTTTTTATATATACCAGGCTGGGAAATGAAGAACTTGCTCTAAAAAACAAATGTTGTATTTTGGGAGATGTGGTCATCCTCAGATCCTCCCTTTATTTTATATTTTAAGAGAGCTGTTAGTTTACATAAGACTGCATAGACAAGATCTAAAGTATTAGTTTTAATTACAGAACTTTTTCTTTATTCTCCAGTTGCCTAAATATTTTAATAGAATGTGTATACATTTAACAATATGTGGTACAGTTACTTTCCCCATAGTAAATGCTCAGTAAATATTACTCCAATTAAATGTCTTTTCCACCCTCTCCATTAACGGCACCAAGTACAATCTAAATGCTCTTCTTATAAAATACTACCTACCAGTAAAGGCAGTAGGAAGTCAACACTGATAATGACCATAATAACAATTCCTGGAGTCCTCCTTTTATTTGATGCAGAAAGTTTGTTCATGGAAACTTAAGATACAAGACCTCATGGCTGTCTGAAGAATAATACAGCTGCCCTCTTCATATGTATAGTTTACTCATTTGCTTGAGTTCTTGGAGAAAAAAAATATTTGAAAGGTTTCTAGAAAGGAAGCTAATAATAGCAATACCTTAAAATATGTCGACGGACTTCCTGTCTAACAGACACCTTTTCCAGATCTAGGGAACCTGAAACTCGAGAGGAGGGAGTGAGATCACTAAGCAGCGGGCCTAAAGTGGGAAGAAGTATCTTTAACGTGAGGAGAGGCTATGGGGATGAAATGGAGGCTGTTTCTGAATGAAGGCAGCTGGACCCAGAATCGCGGAGATTCCTGACATCCCAAATCTTGGGCTCAGGGTCGCTCCACTCTTCCACTCCTTACCTGTTCCCGGGGTTCCACACGAAATCCGAGAAGTGGGCCTCCTCTACCCGGTTTCCGAATGGTCGCGCGAGTACGCAGCGGGTAGGCAGCAACCTAGCCTTCCAGGGAACCGCCCAGCGCATAGGGGCGGATGCGGGTGCGCTTGGTGCGGGTCTCAAAGTGCAGAGGCCGGACCTCACTCTACCAGGCTGCAGTGCCAGGGAAAACCCGCCGCCCCGCAGGCGGAGGCCACCCACCTGCCGTCCACTCCCGCGCTAAGCTCTTGGGCCGTGAGGGGTGATTGCTCCCGTTTACCTCGACAGTGACGCGCTCCTCTCTCTTCCTTTCCTCCCCTCCGACTGCCTCTCGGGCCTGCAGATGGCTCTTTCCCGATGAGCCAGCGGAGCTTCCCCGCCTCCTTCTGGAACAGCGCGTACCAGGCGTCGGTGCCCGCGCCGCTGGGCAGCCCGCTGGCCGCCGCGCACTCGGAGCTGCCCTTCGCCACTGCAGACCCCTACTCGCCGGCCGCACTGCACAGCCATCTGCACCAGGGCGCAGGGGAGCCCTGGCACCACGCGCACCCGCACCACGCGCACCCGCATCCGCACCCGCACCACCCCTATGCGCTGGGCGGCGCCCTGGGAGCCCAGGCCGCAGCCTACCCGCGGCCTGCAGCCGTACACGAAGTCTACGCGCCTCACTTCGACCCGCGCTACGGGCTGTTGATGCCCGCAGCTTCTGGACGGCCGGCCCGCCTTGCGGCCGGCCCGGCGTCCGCGTCCGGCAGTCCGCCTTGTGAGCTCTCAGCCAAGGGCGAACCGACCAGCACCGCGTGGCCCGCACCCGGGGGACCCTTCCCGAGCCCCGCGGGGGATGTAGCTCAGGGCCTGGGCCTCTCTGTGGACTCAGGTAAGCGGAGAAGGAAGTTTGGCCTTCTAGGGACCCCTCCTGCCTTTACTTAACCCTGGTCTGAGCCATGGACCCTTCTTAGTTCTCCTTTGAGACCCTTATGACAGTGAGGGTCTGCATGACAGGGTTCTGTTTCAGCAGCTAAATAACCCTGTGCCGTCGATGTGATGTGTGGGATGAGAAAGTAGGACCTGGTTTGATCTGGCTGGTAAATATTGTTGTTGTCGTTAAGTGCCGTCTAGTTGGTTCCAACATATAGCGACCCTGTATAGGATTTCCGAAGCACGACTGGTGAGCTTGAACCGCCAACGTTGTAGTTCAAATGGCTTTGCAGTCTGACGCATTAACACACGGCGTCACAAAATATTAACGGAGGGTTTTTGCTGTTTTTTTAAATATCATATTTGATGGAAAGATATTATCACTGTGCTGTCTGATACTGTTGCCATGTGGCCATCGAACACTAGAAGATTGATTTATTGAGATGTGCTGTAAGTGCACACACCGGATTTTTTTTAATTGTATAAAAATGCAAGATATAGTTCATTAATATTTTATACAGATTGCACAGTGAAATAGATTCAATATCTTGCATATTGAGCATATTGTTCTTGTAAAGTGCCGTCAAGTCCGACTCATAGCGATCTTGTATAGGGTTTCTGAGACGTTAAATCTTTGCGGGGAGCAGAAAATCTTATCTTTCTCTTGCGGAATGGCTAGTGGGCTCGAACCTCCGAGCTTGTGGTTCACAGTCCAGTGCTTACCCCGCAGAGCCGCCGTGCTCCCCCATATTGAGCATATTGCATTAAATAAAATGTGTACTTTTTTTTTAGTGTGGCTACTAGAAAATTTAGATTATACACTGTAGTTCTATTGGACAGTGCTGTTATGTAGACAGGAACTGTAGTTTAAAATCCGTTGTGGCTTGGAGATTTACTTCCTAGTGATAGTTAAAAGGAAGGGAAAATACTGACTCTGGTATCAGTTGAATTGTCAACACAAATTGGTCTCAAAACCGTAAAACTTATAAAGAATATGATTTTAAGTATGCTATCTCTGACTTAAAAAGTTACATTTGAAAAGTGCATTTAAAAAGATTTGCTTACACCTCCCCCTTATTTTAGAGCAATTTTTTTTAATTGTATAATAAATGCAATCATTGGTTTGTAGTTCTGTCCACTCCTCATTCTCTGAGGTGAAGGAAATTAGACATTTCTGTTTGCTTTTACTGATTGATCCCCCTTTAGATATGTGATTTTTTGCTGTGAAACAGTGGTGTTTGTATTTCCCTTTCCTTAAATATGTGTGCCTTCCCTCTCTTCTCCCCTTCCTTCTCACCTCCTCTCTCTTCTTTTCTCTTGTCTTCTTTCTCTTGCTCCCTCCTCTCTCTCTCTGTTTTATTTTCTCTTTGTTTTCAGGTATGCATCCTCAGGACAAAAGCAAGGATCTGTACTGGTTTTAGACAGCCCACCTTCTCCCCTGTAGGTCTGCATAGTGAGATTGATGGCACTCAGCTGAAATCGAGTTGATTTGTAACAACAGCTTCTGATCTTGGTTTGCAGCTCGCCGCGGTTATTCTCTCTGTGGTGCATCCCTCCTGAGCTGATCTACTGACCCAGAGTTTCCCTTTCCCTTTCCCTTCTGACCAGCCTGGGAGGCTCAGTATCTATGCCTCTCACTTCATGGATGAAGACGTGGGGAAAGCCAGAGACTTCAAACGTCCTTGGGAAAACCAAAACACACATCTCCAGATATTTCATCTAAAAATAACTGCTTCTGCTGCAAAAGCAGATCTAGAGACTCTGAATTATGTTTGACGACTTTTGGCCCAAATCACTGGAAATATCTGTGGTGAGATTGCTTAGTCATGTGATATGATGATATCATAAGCTTTCTTGGAAAGGGGGAAAGAAAACAGGACTTTCCGGTGTGAATATTTTTTATGCTGATGTTAATTATTTCATTGTGTAGTGTGATAATAGCACTACTGATGTCAATATCCTCAGATTTTAAAATGTATTTGTATTTGCATCTAAGACTGTGGTAGAGAAGTAAAAAGAAGCCAATTCTTTCTTCCTCACCGCAAAGCCTCCAGCTCTCTTCCCTGCCCACCCCTCCCAACAACACACACTCCAGACACAAAGACACACTTTTTCCTTTGGACTGTGAACATGGAAGCATCAGCCTGAATGTGAGCGGCAAATGGCTTAGCTGGAGCCACCTGCCCAAGTCTTATTGAAATGCAGCTGTTGTAGGACAACTGTTTAAAACTCCAGAAATACAACGACCAAAGTGGCACTTCCCAGTGTTTAGTACAACAATTGCAATTGCACTGGATATATTTTATATATATGTATGTGTGTGTGTGTAATATATATCATATTTTTTACAAGAAACATTTTACGATGAAAGAAGAAACCATTCTCTGCCTTCTAGCCACAAATTATGTCCCTCCCTCTATATTCCTCTGGATAAAAAAAGCAACAAGATATCCCTAATGTCTCCATGGAGAAAAACTAGAAATCACCACATGGAAAAGAAATAACCATGGAATCTGCAATACCTCGAATAATTTTCTGTGTCTATGGTTGTGAGTTAGTTACTTTAGTGTTGGAGCAGGGGAAAGGTCTATATGTGGGCAAAGCTCAAGGTGATGAGGAAGAAGGAATGAACATTAAAGATATCTATTTACTACAAATCCATGGTGTTGTTTCATAAAAGAAAATAAATATCTTCATTTTTCTCTAGTAGAATGATTTCTGGTATTATGATCTGATGTCAGTAGTAATTTTGTCATTGTTGTTAGGTGTCATCCAGTAGATTTCAATTCATACGGATTCCATGCCAAGTAGGGTTTTCCAGGCTAGAATCTTTAGGGTAGCAAACCTCTAAGTCTTTCTCCTGTAGAGTTGCTAGGTGGATTTGATCCACCAACCTTTTGGTTAGCAATGCAGTGTTTAACCATTACATCATTCGGGGGGAGGGTTGTCCTTTACCTTTCGTATATAATGTTTTTGTTTTTCCAAAGTGTTTGCTATGCTGTAAAATCTGTTAACCCTTTTCCACCTCATGTTGATCTTGGAGATGAGATTAGGTACTCCCCTCACTCAGACTTTTTCACAGATCAGTCTACCATGGACCAGAGAAGTCTAGGACTTGCTTGCTAGTGTTTCGTGAACTAGAAGCAGAGATGGTACTCAAAGCATTACCTGTAGATTGTTTTGTCAGGTGTAGAATTATATTTTCTCCAGGAAAGAATTATTGTTACTTCTTGAATTCTAGGCTCTGAAGACATGGAAAAGTCATAGTTAAAAATGATTTTGAAAGATTTGTTATTTTATAATTTAATGAACCAAACCTATCATGATGCAGAAGCAATTATTAGTAAGAAATTGACAGGCTTTCTCATTAATTTCTCTTGTCATCAAAATTAGGTATTTCACTAAAATGTCCAAAAGATAATTTTGTGTACATTGTACATGGTTGAACCATAAAAAAATTAATATTCCAAATCTTGACCATTATAATGAGAGGTAATATAATTGATCTTGGATAGCAGTCTCTAGAGTTGCTCGGCACATGAGCCTAGGAGGGTTCTTTCTTTCATTTTGGTACCTGCGAAGTAGATATGCTCATTACAAGAGCAATACTGCTTTTGCTCAGATGGAAGGCGCTATAGGATTATATTGCCCGGACATGAGAACAATAATAACTAATGTGTATTGTTCATGATATACCTGGCACTGATTGGACAGTTTAATATAGGCCAACTGATTTAAGCCTCGCTACAATTCATGTGGTATTTATTATGATCCGCTTCACTACAAAATGTCCTTGGGTGACACAACTGATTTGCACTTGACCACTAACCTAAAGGAGTCCTAGTGTGGTGCTGTGGGACTGCAAAGTCAGTTTGAACTATGAGGTTGACAGTTCAAGCTCACCAACTACTCCTCGGAAATCCGACACAGAGTCGCTATGAGTCAGAAGTTAACAGCAGCAACTAACTTAAAAGTATCCTGGTATGGTGCTATAAGACAAGCACTGGACTGTTAAGCTCAAGGTCAGCAGTTCAAACCCACTAGCCACTCCTCAGAAACTCTATACAGGGTCACTATGAGTCAGACCAATTTGAACAGTTCGAACTCACCCAGTGCTATGCAGACGAAAGGCTTCTTCTCTTAACAATTATAGCCAAGAAGACTTTATGAAAAAGGTCTATTTTCTAACACATAGAGTCGCCATGAGTTGACATCAACTTGTTGACAATGCTACAAGAAGACCAAGATGCAGAGAGTAGGAATCATTTTTTTCTGTCAGATAGTTTATAATTGACAGAGCCAGGATATAAACGTGGCATCCTACATCTAGAGATTGCACTCTTATTTACTATATAGTAGCTGCTTATCTCATTTCAGTTTTTGTACTGTTCAACTTTGGGATGATTTGATCTTCCACAAAGATGAGTAAAAGTAAGGAAGGGAAAGTGGCAGGGAAGCAAAAGAAAGATGCTTTGTAGAATTCACAGACCCCCAGGTGTCAAAGAAACTATCATAGGGTGTTGCCTAAACTCCTTCATCCAATGGCACTTCTGACCGACCATTCAGAAGGAGCTCTGATGGTGCAGTGGTTAAGATCGCAGCTACTAACTACAAGGTTGGTGGTTAGAAGTCAATGGCTGCTCCATGGGAGAGAAATGAGGCAGTCTGCAGTGATAGAGTCTAGCCTTGGAAACAAAATGGGTCAGCTCTACTCTGTCCTATGAGATGTCACGATGAGTCAAAATCAACTCGATGGCAATGGGTTTGATAGACTAATCAAACATATAGAGGCTTATATTCTTCTCCAGGGAAGAACGATTATCACATTTGAATTTCATTTAAATATTTAACAGCCTTCACTGATCTCAAGTTCTTTACACGGAACCTAACCAAGTCATGTAAGAGTTAGCTTGAGATTTGGACGTTGAAGCAGCAACTAAAATTAACTTTGGACTTCTCTGTGGATTTTTTTAATCCATGTTCCACTGGCATGAATCTGTGGTATACACAAGCATAAATAAAAGACACCAACTTCCCAGCGAGCTGCCCAGTACTTGCCACTAAATACGCAGTTGCAGAAGAAAACATAGCACTGTCTTCTCTGCTAGACAGCCAAAGTACTCCCCCCTGGAAGAGTCTCTTCACTGAGCCTCACCTGTATTAGCACAAGATCTGTGCTCACAACTCACGGGGAGTATTTTCCCAGCTACCAGTTTCTGATTACTGAAACCCTTCCCCTGAGCCGCATCTGACCTGAATATCAGGTTGCTGGTGAGGAGACTCATTCAGTGGAACTGGCCTTTGGGGCAGTCCTTAGCAGCATGCAGAACAATGAGCCAGCCTCCAGTGACATGGCAGAGAGGACGTGAAGCAGAGCACTTCCCTCCATTTTATACCTTCAGGTGGATCCATAGCCCTACCTGGCATTCTTTAGGCCCATCACATCATACTAGCTGTGAGCTCCCATGGTTGTCTTGTTAATATTAGTGAAACCGCATATTACTGGTGTTTATTAGTTGTGTTGCCTTCCAGTCAATTCCAGCTCATGGTGGCACTGTGTGTGTGTGTGTGTGTGTGTGTGTGTGTGTGTGTAGAGAGAGAGAGTAGAATTGCACTCCATAGGGTTTTTTAAGTCTATGACCTTTAAGACGTATATCTCCAGACCTATCTTCCAAGGCACCTCTAGGTGGGTTCGAATCATCAGTCTTTCAGCTAGTAGTCAAGCACTAATTCATTTATGCCGTGGAGGGACTACTTACCGTGTAGATTGGAGAAGACCCTAATCATTTCTTTTTTAAATGACATTAAAGGAAATGAGGAGTGGCAGAGAAAAGGTAAGCATGACATTTTTACATGCATTCTATCTAGTTAGTTATCTTTGAAAGAAAGATGAGATCTCCTCTGATCATACCCTTTGGCACTGATACTCTCCTTATCCACAGCTTTCCTTTTGCACTTGGCCTAAGCTGAAGGAGAGGTGATGAAAAGGGGAGAGACAGCTCTCCGCCACCAAGTAATCCTTTTGCCGATTGCCCTCTGGCTGAGAACTCAGTCACCCAACTACAGAGAACTCTATCTGTTCTATTCTTTTCATTTAAAAGGAGTTGCCATCCTAGCTCCTTTTCCCTTTGAAGTTCAATTTCAATGCATGGCAAAATCTAGCAATGACTTAAGATTGATTTGGGCTAGATGGGAGGGGGGGTAGAGGTGTTGGGACTTAGACTCCCTGACTGAAAACTTCTCTTGCCATGCTCATTGGGTAAGTACTGTATTTTCTGTGCCCTTTTGTATCTGAGAAAAACAATTCTTAAAGTAACTTCAACCTCCATTTTGCTTTGGCTCATAAAGTCTATGTTTATGTGCATGCAACCATACATATTCCTATAAAAATGAACAAAGATGTCTTTTTTTTCTTCCTAAGCACTTAGTGATTTGGTTACTTTGGAGGTAGAGAAGATAAAATAAATAAAACAGATTTTCATGTCAATGACATAGCTATCCATTTAATTTTTTAAGCAATTCATTAGACTTATGTCAAAGCATGGAAGAATAATTGAAAGATATTTGGAAAGCTTGAAAATAAATGGAGCAAAAATGTTAAGATTCCTTTTACAATCGCTTCCACAGTTTGTTGAAAATGTGCATGCAAATGATTTGTTTTGGACTGTTCTTTACAAGGTCAATGTACTGTGTGTTCCATTCCTCCATACTAGATTTATGGGAATTTATGATACATTCC